TCAAACAATTTAATTTATATCGAACCTGTCTGTTGGGATCCACACTCGCCCCCTGTGACACAAACGCCATCATCTCAGCTCTCATCTGCTGTAAATGTGTAGAGAATTCTGCTCGCATCTCCTCCCTCAGCTCCTCCCTCAACTCATCCCTTAACTCCGCACGAACCTGCTGGGTGATCTGAACAATAGTTGATGGCTGGGGTGTTGCTTGTGATGGCCCTGTACCATCTTTATACACCGCTCTCCGAGGCACAATTCTCCCGTATGTGCGACAATATCCATGTCCGTCATGACCTATCAACTCATGGAAAATGGCATTCCTTAAAAACTTGTTTGATAATTTTTTTGATTTATAAATTGTTGTCTCATTTTGCAAATTTGAGAAAAAAATGTAAATTCAAAAATGAGTTTACATTGGTTTTTAAATAGAAATTTAAAAATTTTACTAACAAATTTTTTTTTCAAATAATTTTTTTTTTCAATTAATTTTTTTTCCAATTAATTTCTTTTTTCAATGAATTTTTTTTTCTAACTAATACTAACCGAGGAGGCAATTGGTAATGCTACTTTAAACCTTAGGGAGGGGATTGCAATTTTTAAAATGTGAGGGGTGTCAATGTAATTTACCCAGTGAGGGCAAAATTGGTATCTAAAAAAATTAAATTGATGAGGGGGGAATCTGTAATGAAACTTTAAACCTCAGGAAGGGAGATGTAATTGTCAAAATATGAGGAAGGAACTGTAATAAACATAAACCTCAGGGAGTGTCAGTGTAATTTATCCAAAAAATTATTTGAAAAAAAAATGTGTTAGTCAAAATTTTAAATTTTTGTTTAAAAACCAACGTAAGATAAAAATTACACCGACACCCCTGGAGATTTATGTTTATTACACTTGAAAGATAAAAATTATATAAAAATGATAATTATTTGTTAATTTTTATTTCTTAACCAAATTAATTTTTAATTTTTAAAAAAATTTCTAAAAATCAAACCATACATAGCCTAAAAATCTTTTAAGAAGTCATTTCTTACGTTGGTAACTTATTTAATTATTTGTTAATTTTATGACATTTTTACCATCTGAGGCCTGTTTGGTAACCATTTCGTTTTTAGTTTTCAATTTATATTTACAAAATTTTTAAAAACTGTCATAAAAACTTGTTTGATAATTTTTTTAGTTTATAAATGGTTGCCTCAGTTTGTAAATTTGAGGAAAAAACGTAAATTCAAAAAATGATTTTACATTGATTTTTAAACAGAAATTTAAAAATGTGACTAACAATTTTTTTTTTCAATTAATTTTTTTTCCAATTAATTTTTGTTTTCAATGAATTTTTTTTTCAATTAATACTAACCGAGTAGACAATTGGTAATGCGATTTTAAACATTAGGGAGGGGATTGTAATTTTTAAAATGTGAGGGGTGTCAATGTAATTTACCTAGTGAGGGCAAAATTGGTATTTAAAAAAATTAAATTACTGGAGGGAGCAATCTATAATGAAATTTTAAAGCTCAGGGAGGGAGATGTAATTCCAAAAGAAGAGGGGGAACTGTAATAAACATAAACTTCAAGGGGTGTCAATTTAATTTATCCTAATTTATTTTGAGTTATATTACCTCTTTATTTTTTCACATATTTTTTTAATAAAAATTAATTTTTAAACAACCCATTATATGAAAAACGATTCCAAACTTTTTGGCCTCCTTTCTTAGGGTGCTTATTGAGTATTCGTAGTGTTCTATAAAGTTTTCATTATTAAAAAAGAGTAAGAGTTCACAATTTATATTGAGAGTACAAAAATAATATAAAATTAAATAATTAATAATTAACTTAAAATATGGCCACCTCATATTTCGAAATTAGCGCATAATTTTCCTCCTTAAGGTTTCGCTTTGCCGCATATATGCTGATTAATTGGAAGTCAAGGCCTACGTACCAAAAAAAATGAATAAATAATCGGAAGTCAAGGCCTACGTACCAAAAAAAAAAAAAAAAAAAAAGAAAAAAACGGGGGTGTCAAGGCCACGTATACTGTACTTTCGCAAAGTCCTAGGAAAGTGATTCAAAAAAGAAACATATACATAAATTCACATTAATAAGTTTAACAAAAATTATATATCATCTAATTTAAAAGTTTTAAAAAAATACTAATAATGTGAAAAATTATAAAAAATATTAAGGCGAAAACATCACACTTGTCAGACCCACACATTAATTAAAGTTATTAAAATTCTTAATTTAGAGCTCGTAATATTTTTTCTAAGTTTAACATTATATTACATATGTCACACTAATGAAAAAAAATTATTACTTTTGTAATTTATTTAAATTATTCTATACACCATAATTATTGGATTTTTGCTAGCGAGGTGATTTTTTAAATTATTCAATATTACATGTGGGAGGTGATTTTTTCAATATTCTTTTGTCCTAAATAGATTTTTATTTAATTCTCATTCTGATATTTGAAATAAGAAATATTTTGGTCGAGAGTGTTAGAATTAACACCCCAATGGTTGAATTAGTAGATTGTGTATAGGAAGGAATTAGTATGATATTTTAAAGACGAAGTCCAGTTAGTTCATACAGGATTACAAAAATTTCGATTTTTTGCGACGTTAAAATGCCATCGCAAATACTCATTATGCCATCTCAAAAAACTTATAATGACGGCAAATGACCTTTAGCGACGGCAAACGGGGGATCACAATAGAGGGCATTGCAAAAACTCTTTAGCGACGGCATGCTGTCGCCTTTTTTTTGCAACGTCATATGTTACTATTTGCGACGGCATTTTACTGTCACCAATAATGTGTAAAAATAGAGACCTTTTTGCAACGGCATTGTTTTACCGTCGCCAAAAGTATTATTTGAGACGGTAGAAATTACCGTCGCAATTTTTTTTTTTTTTTGCGACAACATATTTCTTTTTGCGACATGATTTTGTCACAAAAAAGTTTTTGTTTTTTTGCAACGGTATGGTGCCGTCGTAGAAAATGCAATATTTATTAAAAATTATAAAATACCTGTTTTTTGCGACGGTTTGGTGCCGTCGCCCAAAAAAAAAACCTAAAAGACCTGTTGTAAACTAATTAAAAATATTAAAATTACCTGTATTCAATGAAAAATAATTATAAAAAAAATCAATAATTGCATAATAATATAAAAAATTCTATATAGAAATAATAATTTTTCCATAATAAACATATTCTTGCATTCATAACTATACATCAGCAAAATTAACCCAGTACATAATGTTCCATAATGCATATATAATGTTTAAATACATAATGTTATTCATAAGTCAAAAAAACAGAAATCAAAATTAAAAGTTTTCCTCAGCATCCTCCGTGGTACAAAAACAAAAATTAGTGGCATTCTTCACAAGCATGAAATCCACGAGAAGCAAACTCCTACTCCGGAAATATCTGGACAAAAAAACAAAAATAATTAATGACAATATAATTATGTGTTAATATATTAATTACAAAAAAAAAACATAAAAATTTAACTACTATACAATTAGAAAGATAATTAAGTAAATAATTGTGCATAGACTGAAATCCGACTCTAACTCTCAAACCGGGAACCCGATTTAAGTCTCATCTTCTCCCACAAGTCTCTCGTACCTAGGCGGTCATGTGTACCAAGTTTCGTGCTACTCCGATACCGTTTGATGATTTTGGGGCATTAACACCATAAATTCTAAGTTTCTTAATAAACTAATTTATTTCTTAAGAGTGAAATCCGGCTCTAACTCCCATACCGGGAATTCGATTCAAGTCTCATCTTCTTCCACAAGTCTCTTGTGCCTAGGCGGTCGTGTGTGCCAAGTTTCGTGCTAATCCGACGCCGTTTAGTGATTTTGGGGCATCAGCACCTCGAATTCTAAGTTTTTTAAGAAACTAGTTTACCTAACATGAAATTCGGCTCTAACTCCCAAACCGGGCACCCGATTCGAGTCTCGTCTTCTCCCACAAGTCTCTCATGCCTAGGCAGTCGTGTGTGCCAAGTTTCGTGATACTTTGAATACAACATAAGGATTTAGCAGGACTATGATAATCACTACAAGGTAAGGAGTTGATTCCAAGTATCAATGGCAAGAAATTTGGCTCCTAGAAAGATCTTTTTTGGTTCTTATAATGTATTCAGTAAATTATTTCCAGAACCAGAAGTGCCTCTATTAATACTTGATTTAATGCTCACTTTCGCATAATGGAAACTCCACACAATTACGTGTAGAAGTCAACCCCAATATTTATTGACCTGCATTAGTATACCAACAAATTAACAAAATTTATATTTTGGGATAGGCAACTTAAGAATACAACATAAAACAGTTGCATGTACCAAAAGCGAAAAAAATGTGAACAATTCCAATTTGCTGCAGATAGAAATATGTTGTAGTCCACTATCTTTTTTTCTGTTTTCTTTTTCAATAAAAGTATATGCACTCCCTCTTTATGACATAGAAAGTAAAGACAAACAAGATAACAGTATGATGCTAAATGTTAATATCTAAATGCAGTTTAAAGTTAAAACTAATTTGTCATGAATGGTTAATTTTTAGTGTCATAGAAAACTACAAAATTATTCAACAAGAAAGAAAGCAAATGAGTAAGAAGACTAAACGTGAGCTGGCCACATTAGTTCATTCTCATGTACACTTTTTAAAAGCAAAGGAAATATATGCTTTCAAAAAAGATGATATAAAAAAAGGAATATATCACACCCCAATGAAACAACATTCACAGTCATCAGTCATTACTCCGCATAAGTTAATCCCAACAATTTATAGCTAGTTTAAAAATCTAGTTTAGCCATATGTAGAGGAATATCTTTTCATAAAATTGACACCATCAGGAGACACTAAATTATATGCTAGCAAGAGAAAACACACAATCATATATGTAAAAAACACAAACAAATAAAAATTGAAGGCATGTAAAGTTCTCAGTTTAAATTCAGAGAATTGAAGGAAACTTGTGATAAAAAGGAAGTAGTCTACTTATATTCCAAATTTCATTAGAGAGAGAGAGAGAGAGGAAGAGACTTGAATTGAGTGCATGCGTTGCTACTAATTTTTCTCCTAAAACACATCTGTTGAAGTGACTACTTGCTTCTTAGAAAAAGGCAAATGGCCAAGTCTATGCTCCATAACCTGAAAGTCAAAAACAATAAAAGCAATGATGATTGGTAAGATTTAACATTTTTATTCTATTAACCTTTTGAATTAACCTCTTAACATTTTTATTCTATTAACCTTTTGATGTGTGACCAATCCTCGTATCAAAACTAAACTTATAAAGAGCAATAATTGCAATTTTATAGAATATACTAATAAAAGAATCTACTATAACAAACCCGAGACAACCTATATCTAAGAGAATTGGAGAACTAATAACCATTTCAAGAGAAGTACATGACCCACATAATTATACCTGAGTTTTGCTTTGTAACTGTCAACAATTTCCTATTTTTCTTCTTTTGTAGAATACCAAATGGCACTAGGAATGACAAAGTATGAAACCTTTCTACATATTAGGCATGCACTCAATGTAGAGTTGGCATCCATTCCAGAGGTTGGGGAACTACTATGCCAATTCCTGATACAAGATATACAGAATGAATGAGACCAAAAATTGGATCAGAAACCAAAAATTGGCGAGAAATTGTGGACGCAGATGTAGTGGAGGACTGTGATCAAAAAACTTTAACATGTTCATATCTGCATTGGCTTCCTAAGAACAGACTCCTTTCGAGTAGAAGGTGTACACCTGCAATATTATTTCAATAAGAAACAAAAAAAAAAAAAGAAAGGGAAAAAAAATTTACAGGACTAATAGAATTAATGAGTTGACTATCAAAGAAGATAGCAGACAGTTTACATTATTTGATGGGTCTTTCTAATCAATTCTAGCTCCTTCCATATCTCAACAATTTCCTAATAATCACCACCACCTAGAACTGAGGGCTATACTATACCTTCTCAAAGCAGCCTTAGATTTCTTTTGTTTAAGCTTGGTAAGGTTCATTATTTGTTACTAGACAAAGAGTATAAATTTCTATTCCAAATTTTATAGCTTAATATCGGTGGTTGGTAGTTAGAATGTCTCTTTATTCATGGTTGAGACACTAACAGATTTTATACTTTCTATTTTCAGAGGCATATTAGCAAACAGGTGGTGTGCATAATTTACACATAAATTAAATTAAAGAAAAAGAACTTGGAAATGAACAAATTGAATCAAAATCAAAATCATATAGAAGATAGACGACTTTGACCAACCCTAGCCTTAAAAAAATCACTTGTTAGGGTTTCGAAAATTAGAAGGAGAGGGAAAGGGGCAAAGTGAGAGCAACAAACAAGTGAGAGAGAGAGAACTTAACAGATAGTAGCAGTCGTCGGTGGTAGTCACAGTCGCGGTGGCGGGCTTTGTCTTTGTGTTTAGAGCAAGGTTCTGAAAAGCGGTTGCAGTCGCCGTAACGGTAGCGGTGACGCGGTTGCGATTGCGGGATGTAAAGGCCGTAGTGTAACGGTTGCGGTAACCGGAACCGTGAATTTTTTTATTTTTCGCACAATTTGAAAAAAACTTACTGAAACGCATATTTTTTTTCCATGGTCATATTTATTGGTTTAAAAATAAATATTGATTAATTTTTGTAAATTTTTAAGTATGATCCAATATATTTCATATTTTTAAATCACTATAAACTGAGTTTTTTACATTTTATTTTAATAATTAATGACTTTATATTTTACAAAAAATCAATCACTAACTATTATATATAAGATAAATAATGACAAAAGTAAGAGAATAAATAAGAGCCTAAATATATATATATATATATATACATATTTTAACCAAGCCAAATATATAATGACCACTTATTATTATTATTATTTTCAAACAATATATAAATAGACACACACAAACAAAATGGTTTAGTGATAGCAGCTGAATAGAATAACATAGGTCTTATAGTTTTAACAAATCAATAATATGTTCTTCATCTTCCCTCTTCTCTCTCTCTCTCTCTCTATCTCTTGCTTCTCTATTTTCTCTTTATCTTCCCTCTTCTCTCTATCCCTTTTCCCCCATTTTCAGCTTTTTTTTGTATGTTTCTTCGAAAGAAACAGTTTGGAACCGTTGCGTAACGGTGCGTAACAGGCCGTTACGACCGCTACGGCAGCCGTTACGGCCGACACACCTATGAATCTCAATCACACTGCAAAAGCGGCCGTAACGGGTGGCGGTAACCGCCAAAACCGTTACGTAACGGTTACGGCCGCTTTTTAAAACCTTGGTTTAGAGTCTTCGTCCTCGGCGGGCTTGAAGGATGGGGGCTTGAATGCAAGGGGCTTCGGAGGGAGGTTTCCTAATTTTCTCTTAATATCGTCCCATTGAGTCAAAGCTCCTTCAACGTCCTTGTACACGAAGTGATTGTTCGCCATTTTTGAGAATCTCCGATCAACTCTCTCTCTCTCGCTCTCTCTCCCTCCCTCTCTATAGTATCGTATTTTGGGGATTTTTTTGTTAGGGATTGGGGATTTGAGATCGTGAGGAACAAAGGGAGGAAAGAAAGGAGGGAATTAGAAAGAGCAGGAAAACGAAAATAAAAAGAAGAAAAGATAAGAGTTGGGATAGGCGGTAGTTTTATTTATTTTTTGTTAAAATAATTTTTTTTTTCAATTTTTTTAGTTATAAGGTTGAAAATTTATTTGTTTTATTTTTATTTTAATGAATATATTTTTTTTTATTTGGTAGAAGTAAGGGTAATATTTTTATGAAAAATATTTTCAATTAAAATAAAGTTAATGAAATTTAGAGAGATAGAGACATGCAGAGAGATAGAGACAGACAGATTAACTTTATTTTAATGATTTTTTTTATTTGGTAGAAGTAGGGGTAATATTTTAATGAAAAATATTTTCCGTTAAAATAAAGTTAATTTTTTATGGTTAATAGAAAATATTTTTTGTGGCCCATTTTTTTTTTTGTTACTAAAAATCAAGAGCTAATTTTTTGTAGTAGAGAAGAGCGAGCAGCAGCAGTGGTGAAGGTGGTGGATAAGAGATGATGGTTGTGGTGGTGGTGGTGGTGATGCCGAAGGAGATTAGTGGTGAAGTTGTGGTAGTGGTAGAGGAGATGGAGTTGCGGTGTTAGATGAGAAGTAATAGTAGTAGTAGTAGTGGTAGCAGTGGTAGTAGTGGTAGTGAAGTGGTAACGATGGTGGTAGTAATGGTAGTCGTAGAGGTGGAGTGGCAACATTGGTAATAATGTTGGTAGTTGAATGACATTTGCAGTAGTGGTGAATGTGGTATAGGAGATGAGTGGTGAGAGAGAGATGAGTGAGAGACAGATAGAGATAGAGACAGAGACAGAGACAGATGCAGAGTGATGAGTGAGAGAAAGACAAAGTGGTCACTAAAAGTGCATTTTCTTATAGTGGAGAGCTCGGTAAATAGAGAAGAAGAGAGGGAGAGAGTGAGCAAGGTGAACATAATGGGGGAGAGAGATAGACATACAGACACATAGAAAGAAAGAGTGAGAGACAGACAGATAGACACAGAGAAAGAAGAATGATGTGTGAGAGAGAAAGAGAAATAGAGACAGACAGACAGACAGACAGAAAAAGAGAGAGAAACAAGAGATGAGCGAGAGATAGACAAAGAGAGAGAGAGAGAAAGAGAGCGGAAAGAGATGATCGAGAGAAAGACATAGAAAAAGAGAGAGATAGAGAGAGAAGAAAGATGAGTGAGAGAGATAGAGAGAAGAGAGATGATAGAGATAAAGAGAAGAGAGATAAGCGAGAGACAGAGACAAAGATAGACAGACAGAGAAGAGTGATGAGTGAGAGAGACAAAGAGAAGAGCGAGAGAGAAAGAATAGAGAGTGAGAGACAGAAAAAGAGACAGAGAGAGAAGAGAGATGAACGAGAGACACAGAGAGAGAGATGAGTGAGAGAGACATAGAGAAAAGAGAGATGAACGAGAGAGACAGAGAGAGAGATAGAGAGAAGAGAGATGAACGAGAGAGACAGAGAGAGAAGAGAAATAAAGTGAAGAGAGATGAGCGAGAGAAGAGAGATGAGCGAAAGAGATAGAGAGAAGGGAGATGAGCGAAAGAGACAGAGAGAGAAAAGAGATGAGAGAAAAGAGAGAAAAGAGATGAGAGAAGAGATAGATGAGTGAGACATACACACAAAGAGAGAGAGACAGATAGACAAACAGGCATAGAGAGAAAAGTGATGAGTGAGAGAAAGAAAAAGAAGAGAGAGAGAAAGATGAAAAAATGGGTGAAAAGAGACAGACAAAGAGAGAGAGAGAGAAAGAGCGAAAAGAGATAAACGAGAGAGAGAGAGAGAAGGATGAGCGATAGAGCGAGAGAGATAAAGAGAAGAGAGAGAGAAGAGAGACAGAGAAAGATAGAGAGAAGAGAGATGGGCAAAAGACACAAAGAGACAGACAGACAGACAGAGAAGAGTGATGAGTGAGAGAGAAAAAGAGAAGAGAGACAGAGACAAAGATAGAAAGAGACAGACAGACAGACAGAGAAGAGTGATGAGTGAGAGAAAGAAAGAGAAGAGAGACAGAGACAGAGACAGAAAGACATGAAGATAGAAAAAATTGGTGAAAAGAGAAATGTTATATCAAAAGAGTAAGACGACGTCGTTTTTTTTGTGACAGAAAAATACCGTTGCATTTATTTAAACCATTTTGTGACTATAAATATATGAAGTCGTCTCAAAGCCACAATACATATATATATATATATATTTACTTTTTTTTTTATATTACTTTTTTTCTTCTTTTTTTTTTTGCAACGGTACCTATTACAGTCACAATTTTTTATTTTTTTTTGTAACTGTAGCTGGTGCCATCACAAAAACTCTATTTTTTTGCGACAGCAATCTCTGCCGTTGCAAATATTCTATTTTTTTTGTGACAGCAAGTTGTGCCGTCGCAAAAAGTCACATTTTTCGCGACGACAAGTTGTGCCGTCGCAAAAAGTTCCGTCTTTTAAGCCCACTTTTCTTGTAGTGGAGCATACATTTCTTCTTCTATCCACGTTCTTTATATAGCTATTTAGTGAAAATATTTTTTACGTAATTTGACATATTTGTCATCATTACTTAAATGTCAGGACCTAATTTCCTATTACACCTTCGGAAAGGGACAGCCTGAGCTCGCTTTAATTCTCGGCACAGGTGTCAGCCGATTCTACCTGTATCACTTATTTGGCATACCACTTGGTCAGCGATCGTATTGTTCAGCATTTAGCTTTCAACAACCCAATGGGCCTATGATGGATGAGCCCAAATGTCTTATTTGCCGATTGTACAAATAATTTACTCTACTCACAAAGATTAAAGTTTTATGAGTAAGGCAATGTATCACCTGATTCATGTCATATGATTGTTCTACAACTATCTAATAATTTTAAAACATGTAATTTATTTGTGATCATCGTATTGAAATAAAAGAATGACAAAGTAATTACGGATCTTTCTACAAGCATGTCGCATCATGGTCTAAATAACTTCTCCAATTATATGGGGTTGAACATGGTTCAATTTAGGAGGAACCAGAAGGCTAAATTTTTTATTTTTGGACAAAAAATAGTATTGGAGCCTGTTTGGGAAGTGAAGTTCAGGCTATATTAGCCACATGTGGACAAAAGAGACTTATTTAGCCTCATGCGTACAAAAAAGGCACAGGTGCTTGGCAACAACCAATGCCAAGCTAAATTTACGAAACTACCCCATGAAAGAGGGGCATGCGTCAGCACACACAAAAAGCAAAAAAAAAAAAAAAAATTCCCAAAAAACACCTTTTCCCAGAAAAAACAAAGAAAGTTGAAAAAAAAAAAATTAAAAACATTTTTTTGTTTTTTGTTAAAATATTTTATAAAAATAAATTCAAACTCTATTTTATAAAACCAGCTTTAAATATTTTAATTTTTTTGTTATGTATTTGGTTATGATTTAAGTGTAGAGTTGTGAAAGTGGTATGGAGTTTCAAGTTATGTGTTTGGTTATGAGTTTTAAAATAATTTATTACTTGAGTTTTATTTTATGTGTTTGGTTACGATTTGAGTGTAGAATTGTTTTTAAATTTAAAATATTAACATTTTAAATTATTTAAATTTTTTGAATATTTAAATTATTTAAAATTTTTGAATATTTATTTTAATTTTTTACTTATTAAAATTTTTAGATTATTTACATTATTTAAATATTTAAAATAAAATTAAACGTAAAATTAATGATAAAATTAAAATTAAAATTAAAATTAAATATTTTAATTTTTAAATATTACGATTTTAATTTTTTAAATTTTAAAATATTTTGTAAAAATAAATTCAAACTCTATTTTATAAAAATAAATTCAAACTCTATTTTATAAAAATAGTTTTAAATATTTTAATTTTTTTGTTATGTATTTGGTTA